ACAGAGAGCACATTGGCCAAGCAATGGCCATGACTCATCCACATGGCTGACACTGACAAAGGTTCTACAATCTGAGGTACAGGATCTCAGGATAAATGCTGAGGGGATTTCACTGACCTTATCAGACCCAAAAGCTACAACTCTTGTTGCATAGGTCCTGCTTTACCTTGGTCTTAATGGTTTTTGTAAATAGGTGTTTGTAAATAGGATATCATGTCTGCATCTTATACAGCAATTAACCACTAGGAAGAATGTATGCAGTGTGTTAATTATTGAAACTGTCCTACCAATTTGATTTGAAACTGTCTCATTGCTATTTGTTTATCAATAAAATTATGGAAAAAAATAATGACATATAAATTGGGATAAATACTTTCCATTCTTAAATATAGTCTAACATATTGCATTTAATAACAATAGTTTAATTATGTTCACTCAACCATGTTTTGTGTGTGTGTGTGTGTGTGTGTGTGTGTGTGTGGCCTGCTCAGCCCACCAGGGGGCGGGGCTGGCTGGCATGTGGTGCTGGGGGATTGAACAGCTGTCCCTGTGCTTTGCTAAGCTTGTTCTAAGAAGGTGCTTTAGACCACTGAGCCATCTCACCAGCCCTCAACCATGTTTAGTGAATTTTATTTCATGCTTTTCAAGTATTTCCTAAATAAATTACTGTGGAACACACTGAAAAAAAAAGATGTTAGCAAAATCATGTTGACTTGCTTATTTTTCCTAACCATTACACAATAATTTAAGTTGCAGCATGCTGTGACACAGCATAAAACTATACTTAGTTTTCATTAATTTTATCACAAATGATTTTTTTGTTGTTCTTTTGTCTAGTTTTTGTTGTTGGTGTTGTTGTTTGTGCTGTTTTTGAGACTATAGCCCACATTGGCCTTGACCTCCTAGTAATCCTCCCATCTCACCCTTCCAAGTGCTGGGAATATAGATGTGCTTTTCTACTCTGAGCTTTAATTTTGTCATTTTGAAAATCTTTACTATTCTAAGAATGCTGACCTGGTAGTGCATGTGTAATCCCAGCACTTGGGAGGCTAAGGCAGGAGGGTCACAGGGGGTCAAGACCAGCATGGACTACAAAGTGAGTTCAAGGCCTGCCTGAACTTCAGAATGAAATCCTGTCTCAATAGGACAAAAGTAAAAAAAAAAAAAAAAATTTTTTTTCCTAAGAAGAGCAGTATAGGCCAAGTATGGTAGCACACAACGGTAATCACAGCATGCGGGATGCTGTGGCAGGGGGATTACCTGAGCTCAAGACCAGCCTCATTTTGATCCTCAGTATGCTACCCTACCACTTTTTTTTTTTTTTTTTTTTTTTTTTGCGGAACCAGGGATTGAACTCAGGCTCTTGCACTTACCAGGCAAGTGCTTGTTCTACTGAGCTCTCTCCCACCACTTCTAATAGTAGTACAGAAAATGTGTATGTTATTGGTTGGTTTGTTATTTCTAGTACATACTTGGCATTTATGTTAAATTAAGGTAGGGATATTTTCATTTTCTTCCCCTTTAGAAGCAATGCTGAACAAAAAAAAAAGCAGTACTGAACAGAAAACAGTAAATGTTTAAGGAATAACCACATATAGCCTTCTTTTAATTTGCACTGTACATTTAGTACAATTGATACTTAATTGTTTTATTGATCATGCAATATGCATATAACCTTTCCCTTTTCTCTAGAAACTATATACAGTATGTGATGTGGCTCTGTGTGTCATAAACAGTAAGAGTGCTCTGTGTAATGCAGACTCACCAAAGGATCCAGTCCTCCCAATGAAGTTTTTCACTCAACCTGAAAAGGTAATTTCTTCACCTTAGTTTTCTGCCATAATAACTCTCAACCCTGGTGGCTGATCTTAGATGAGTATGAACTCAAAAAATATGTCTGGGTTTCTTAGGATTGGGAGAGCATATTCCAGAGCTCTAAATAGCATCATTCTTAATTAACCACATAAGAGGATATAAGTCAAACTTTTTTTTTTTTTTTAATGTATTTGGTACAGGGTCTCACTGTGCATCTCAGATTCATAGTGATCCTCCTGTTTTCAGCCTTCCCAGTGCTGAGATTACAGACATGCATCACCACACCCGATCTCTGTGGTGGGCTCAGCATACTAGGGGGGTGGGGGGTGGGGCGCAGTGTAGCATGTGGTGCCAGGGATGGAACTCCAGTTCATGTGATTGCCTAAGTAGGCACTTAGTCTGCTGAGCTATCTTGCTGGCCCCAGATCAGACTTTTTATTGTTCAATGTTAGTAGTGATAGAATTGGTCATGGTGATTGATAGACAGACCTGGATTCCCATCAACACATCTAACTTAAGGGATAAGCTAATTCTTTTTTATACTAAATTTCCTTGTGTATTATATATGATTGTTAGTACTTATGAGCAGTTAATTATATCTAGTTTATGTGACGTATTTATCACCCTGTAAGGATTCAATACATGGTATTTATGAATATTTATAGTACATTCTGCTACATTATTAGTGAATTAAATGTTCTTTGTTAGTAAATTTTCCACTTAACTGAAGTCCCTTGAGCTTTACTAGCTAATCTGGATCTGAAATTTTTTTTTTTTTTTTTTTATGATGATAGCTTTCCAGGAAATAAAATTTACTCTTTTCAAAACCATACTTTTGGGCCAGGGAGATGGCTCAATGGAATAAGCGCAAGGGTGTGAGTTCAATCCCCGGTTCCACAAAAAAAAAAAAAAAAAAAACATACTTTGCTAAAAGTTTTGAACTGGTTTTCATTACTTATTTAGTATTCATCATTTGTTTATTTATTTTTTATTTTATTTTTTTTATTTTTATTTTTCAACAAATAATACACTGCATATATTCTTCTTAGTGGTTAATTGCAGTATTCATCATTTACTTAGACTTATTTTTGAGAGGAATAATAAAGATTACAACTTTTTTTTTGCCTCGCACCCATCCTGGTAGTGCATATCTGTAATCCCACTACCCAGGAGGCTGAGCAGGAGAGTCTTGACCTCCAACCTGCTCTGGGCTGCGTAGCAATACCCTGTCTCAAAAAAAAAAAAAAAAAAACCAGAAAACAAAACAAAAATGGCATTTGCCCTCTGAACTGAATCTCCTTATGTATGTCAATACTTTTTAAAAATGTATTTAGTACAGGGCTCACAGGGTCTCAGTACACAGATCGGATTTGTAATGATTCTCCTGTTTTCAGCCTCCCAAGTGCTAGGGTTACAGGCGTGTGTCACCATGCCTGTTCTCACTTGTTGTTGCATCGCGCTCAGGTGTGGGGCTGGCACAGAACACCAAGAATTGAACCCCAGTCCATGCACCTGCCTAAGCAGCCACTTTAGTCTGCTGAGCTATATGGCCAGCCCTGTTTGTCAGTATTCTTAATGATCTCTTTAATTTACCATTAGCCTATGCACCACTCAAGCCATGATGACTGCAACAAAATTCATAGCATTTTTAACACCATTGAAGAATTAAATTGCTGTTTGTCCCTACGCTTAAATGGTCTCAACAATTTTTGTTTGGTTTTGTACCTGTAATTTATACTGTTTTTAGTTTTCTTAATAATAGCTTAGGTATTTTTCTAACATTTTGCTTTCAATCAGCATAAATTTAAACACTGGGATATCAAGCTTACTATGATAATGAACCTGGTGGTAATGCTGTATCATCAGAAAATGAATAAACTTTGGTAACCAGACTTTGTAACATTTATTTTAACTGCATGAAAACCTTTGGTCCCCCAAAATATTTGTTTTTGTGAGATGGGGTCTTGCTATGTCGTTCAGGCTGGTTTTGACCTACTTATTACACATAGCGTAGACTGGCTTCAAAATTGTGCTGGGGTTATTAGGTATGTGCTGCCACACCCAACTTACTCAGCTATATTTTGATGGTATGTTTACTTTTATAATTTCAATGGTATGTTTATTCATGGTTTTAAAAAACAAAATACTTTTTAAATAAGATAACACCTTTAAAATAATTTTTTTTTAATGGTACAGGAAATTATATCCAGGGCTTTGTGCATGCCTGTGCTCTTATCACTAAGCTAAACCCCTTCTCCTGTCCCCATCCCCCTTTTGAGACAAGGTCTTGCTGTATAGTTCAAGCTGGCCTGTAACTCACAGTAGCCATCCTCCTGCCTCCATCTCCCAAGTGCTGGGATCATAGGATGTACTACCACACCAAGCTAAATAGTCTTTTGAGACAGGTTCTTGCTAAACTGCCTGGACTGACCTCAAATTATTCTCCTGTTTCAGCCTGACAAGTAGCTGGGTTGTTGAATTTGTTTCATTTCTTTTCATTTCTTACATGAATAATTCCCTTGAGGTCCATTGTAGACTTCCTTAATGGCAGTAGCATAGTGTACCAGTTTTGGTATTTTAAATTTTTTTTTTTGCGGGGAGGGGTGATAGGGTCTCACTACACAGTTCAGATTTGTAGTGATCCCCTGTTTTCAGCCTCCCCAGCAACTGGGATTACAGGCATGCACCACCACGCCTGGACTCAGTTTTTTGAAAACCCTAAAGAAGTAGACTTTACGAAGTATTTATTTCATGCAGGGGTCTCACTAAGCAGTTCATGCTCCGTTGTGATCCTCTTCTCTCAGCCTGCCCAGCAGTGGGGTTACAGGCATGCGGTACCTGGGATTCAACCCAGGTCCTTACACGTGCCAGGCAGGTACTGAGATCACCGAGCTATCTTCCCGAGCCCCAAGAAGTAGATTTTTTAACAGTGAAAGAGGTGAAAGGAACTTAATGAATAAACTGGAGACTGCCTACACTACACCATATGAAAAGAATACTGTGCATTTTTTAACATGTAGCAAATGCAGCTCTCATTTGTCTAAGTCTTGAATTGTTATATGTATTAGGACAAATATAACTTTTTGCAAAACACAATGTCTTATGTCATTTGTATAATAAAATGTGATTTTATTTTTGTGTTTCAATAGGACTTTTGTAATGACAAGAGTTATATTTCAGAAGAGACAAGAGTACTTCTGTTAACAGGAAAGGTATTCTGTACTTGGGTTTGGGATTTTAGTTTTACATGTATATACTTCTATTATATGAGCCCAAGATTGTATAGTTCCTGTTTGTTAAGGATTAAATTATGAATTTTTAGCATCTGTTGCTGAGTTGTGTATCATGAACCAATCTTCATGAATTGCTACCATGTGTTTACTTCAGTAATTATAAGTTAGGAATTCTAAGTTCCTCATCTATTTACAGTTCACTAATTTTTCCTGAACAGTTGTAAGCTTAGATATAGAGGATAGAGAATTTTGAAATTATTGAGTTAGACAATTCATGCTGCTGGTTGTTACTTTGTTTTCTGTCATTTCTGTCCCCCTCCACCTCTTCCCCCACCACCACCCCCATTTCGCATCAAGCACAGTGATGAGCTCTATCACTGAGCTATACCCCGAACACTTTGATACTAGGAAGGTCTAAGTTGCCCAGGCTGGCCTTATACTTGTGATCTTTCTGCCTCAACCTCCCCAATAGTTAATGTTAAAGGCATACACTAAAACACATGCCTTGATATTTTATATTTTCTAGAAGTAATTTGATGAGACAAAGCAAAAAAAAAAATCTTTGATGAATAATTTCTCATTACTATATACATTTAGTAATTGGTTTATACAGCAGTTTAGAGCAATTTTTGTCTTAATTAGATAGTAAGAGCAAAACAAAAGGGTGCTTAAATAATAGAGAAGGTAGATACTGCCTTGTTTTTGTTATACAGGGTCTCATTATATATGTAGTTTTGGCTGGCCTTGAACTCACTAAACAGGCTGGCCTCAAACTCAGCCATTCTCCTGCCTTGGCATCTGGAGTGCTAAGATTATAGGCATTCACCACCATGCCCAATTGCCTGGTTGTTACTAAGTAAAAGTCATACTTCCAATTTTTAATTTCAATAAGGTAGCCTTTAATTTCAGTAATGAATTTTATAGAATTATTTCTAATACATTTAGGATTTT